CAAATAACAACAATGCCTTGTGAAGGTAGTAATTTTTACACGTTTTTTTTGTCATGTAATTTTAGGATGTAAAGAATCTTTTTTTTCCCTAATCAAAAGTGATAAACAATTTAATTTTATAAAACAAAAAAAAATTTCACACTTGAAAATTTGGATTTTTGTCTATAACTCATTTAAATTAATTCAAATTGTAATATGGAAAAAGGTTAGTGATAGCAAGTGTAATTTATTTTTCTGGAATACCGGAATGCCAAGAAAATATGTTAATATTTTTGCTTAAATAAAGGCAGTCAACCTGTATATCATTCCAATAAGAAAGATAATGAATTTGTTATTAAAAATTATTAAATTTATTTTTTAGAATTATTAAAAATAATTTTCAGTCATTTGTTTTCTCATATTGTTGAATTATTACATAATAGAATAAATTAACAGAAACATTTGCTAGATTGAAATTAACTATTGCTATCCATTTAATTAGCACTTTGTTTATTAATCACTAATTAGCTTAATTAGTCAATAATTATTGGCATATTTTATTAGTTGATTCAAAATACATTTATTTTTAGCGTGAGTGTATTTCTATACATATTGGTCAAGCAGGTGCCCAAATTGGCAATGCATGTTGGGAGTTGTATTGTCTAGAACATAATATTGGTAAAGATGGAAAAGTTGCAGAGGAGGGAAGCCTATCCGGAATACAAAATCGAAAACCGGAAAATCAGGTGAATATTGTATTAAATTTAGTTTCCATTAAGTTTCATTATTTTAAGTAACGTTTGTTTTTTTTTTCTGAGAAATATCAAATTTTAATTTAAATTTGTCATTTTTAAAATTACGAATTAACATTGTTTATTTGGCTGAGACCTTCTTAGTTTGCTTATTTTAATCATTTTTAGATTATTCACTTACTTAATTAGTCAAATTTTTCTTTTTTTTATTTCGTCGATTACTTATTTAATTTAATTTTGAATATAAAATTAAATATTTTATTATACAAAAAGAAAAAGAAATTAATTATTTTTATGGTACAGTTTTACTAACGTCAAATAACATAAATTTTTTGGATAAAAAGAAAAGGAAGAAGAAAATTTAGCAAATTTTTAGTCTATCACAACATTCTTCTCGGAATCATCTGGTGGCAAATACGTTCCTCGAGCTATTTACATTGATTTAGAGCCTACTGTACTTGGTAAAATATTTCACTTCATTTTTTTTTTTCCAGTATTTTATTCTTTTCCATGCTTTAATGAAATTCCTATTTCACCATTTCATGAAATACTAATAATATACAGTAGTATATATATATAACTTACTGTTAAATCATTCATCAAATATAAGGATGCATTGAAATGAATTACTTTCATATTGAATTTCAGTTAATTCAAGCGATTAATTTAAATTTGATAAAATTTCGAAAGATTTGGGAATAAAAAAAAGCACATATTAAATGAAAGGTATTACAGTAAATAACGATAGTGATGCAGAAAGTTACTACAATTTAGTGACAGTAATGATGCATTACGGTCACTACATTACAGTAACGATGCAAAATATTACTGTAATTACTACATTACAGTAATACGGATGCAAAATACTACTGTAATACAGCATAGCAGTTCACTTATACTTTTTTTTGCAACTTTTTTTCTCTCATATTTTTATTATCACTAATTTTTTCTTTGGTTTTCAATTCATTTGTTATATCTCTCCAATGTTTTTTAAATTTGAAACTAAAAAAGCGGAAAATTTTGACGGAAATTTTGAATTTTAAGTTGAAATTTCAGTTTCGTTATGTATTTATTACACACAAATACATTCATATATTATTTAATATTTTAATCCACTGAATGTAATGAAATTGAATTTTATAAGGTGATGAAATTGAATTCCTAAAAAATTATTCATCATACCATTTAGGAAAAAGGTTATTACTTCTACAGACGAAATATCATTAGTATTACTATCATTAGTATTGCTAGGCATTCTATTGACGGATTTCTTTTTTTTTTTTAATTTTAAATCAACTCTATTAATTAAAGTCAATACCTGCATATTTGCTTTTTCATTTGATATTTAATTTTATATATTTTTTAATTTTTTTAATTTGAATATATATATATTTTTTAATACTATATTTATTAATAATAATGTATGCGCAGATGAAATTCGTTGTGGTCCATTCAAGCAACTTTTTCATCCGGAACAATTAATTAGTGGTAAAGAAGATGCAGCTAATAACTATGCACGTGGCCATTATACTATCGGTAAAGAGCATATTGATAAGGTGTTGGATAAAATTCGAAAACAGGTTTGTAATTTTGTAATTGCTTATTTGTCATGATTTGGAATTTTATTAAAAATTTGAAAATTTTTGTTTTGATGTTAAATTTGTCGTATTTTTAGACGGAACAATGTATGGGATTACAAGGTTTTTTGGTATTCCATAGTTTTGGTGGTGGTACTGGATCCGGATTTTCATCACTACTAATGGAACGACTTTCTGTTGAATATGGTAAAAAATCAAAACTTGAATTTAGGTAACGAAAAAATTTTTGGCAAATTTCCCATACTACTATATTTTATTATCATACTTTACATGTTTTATACTTTACTATCAATCTTTTACGCAAAGATAAATGATTAATAGATTAGATTTATGTCATTTTTTGTTTATTGTCAAGTTTAGCTGTGAAATATTATTTAAATAAATGAAGAAATAATGAAATACATACATTTATACAAATATCATTATCAAATTAAATTAAATTCCAATTCTTTCTAGTAATTACACTGATAGTCTATCAATTATGCATAATAATTAATTAGATAAACCAATGGATTTAATCATTTAACATTTGTTGCATATATTGCATATACACTATAAAATTGTAATATGGACACTTTTCAGTTATAAATTTGATTAATTATTTTATTCAATTCGTTGATAAATCAATTAAATCAATTAACATTTAAGCTATTCATGTAATCATCGGTACTTCGTTTCATATTTAATTACTTATTCTAGTATCTATCCAGCACCACAGGTATCAACAGCTGTTGTTGAACCATATAATTCAATTCTAACCACTCATACAACATTGGAGCATTCCGATTGTTCCTTTATGGTTGACAACGAAGCAATTTATGATATTTGTCGTCGAAATCTTGACATCGAAGTTTGATATTATCAATACTAATTGTTAATGAGATAATTAATAATGCAATATGACCGAATGTAAAAATGCATTTTTTTTTTTACATTCTATTAATGAATATTTATTAATACTATAGCATATAGCAATTAATTAGACAATACTATAATTAAAGAAAAAAAACAGAGTGCAGAAAGTTTAAATAGGAAAGGAATAAATTGAAAATGATGATAACTTTACCTATCAGTTTCATTCTTATATATTGATCAATTGAATTTGTAAAAAAAAACGAAAAAAAAATCTTTGGAAAATATTTGTGAATCCGAAAATATTTATTATTTCCATCAGATGATCAAAATTGTCATCTTAAGTATTCAATAAATGATGATAGATCAAATAACAACAAATTCTAGAGGCCATCATATGTCAATTTAAATCGGCTTATTGCGCAAATTGTTTCATCCATTACCGCATCATTACGTTTCGACGGCGCTTTAAATGTTGATTTGACTGAATTTCAGGTTTAACTTTGCAATAATTCCTTCTTTTAATAAAATTAAACTTTCGTTTTCTAATTAAAAAAAGAAACAAAACTATTAATAGAGAAATGTTCAAATGTTTCGGAATACGACTAATTAAATGTCGAAGCTGTTGCTAATTAAATGTTTTGGATTGTTGCTAATTATCAGAAATAAAAATAATGACTACATAGAACATATATATATATATATATATATATATATATATATA